AGCAACTAAATACCTAGCTAATTATTACTAAATGTTTTGGAGGCGATTTAAATGCAAAAGAACTCTACAATATATGCATTTTAAGTGCATTAAAAATTTAAAGATTAGTAGAATTATGTTAGATTTGTGTTATAATGTATAAAGTAAATATTTTAAGAAATTTTGAAACGCAGTAAACATAAAATGCTTTTACGCAACATAAACCTAACGCTTGATGAGTTTTTATAATAAACTCAATGCAACTATGCACTACATACGTTAATGCTACATTGAATTTCTTTCATTTTTTACAATTATTTTCTTGATTATTTATTTATTTCATATGTGTCTTCTCTTAATTCTTAGGCTTACAGTTTACAATGTTGTCTTAATTCTAGGATTTAGCCTCTAGACAGATTTTCTTCCTTATTTTCAGTTTCTTTTATTTATTGTTATTAAAAATAATATGAATCTTTATTACTTTATCTTATTTCTTACTGCTCAATTTTATGCCGTTTTCCTTAATGGAATGGTTCTGAGTTTTCTGTCTTCCGCTAGTATAAATGTTTGCTCTATCATAACTATTCTCGCTGATAATAAAAGACAGCATAAAAGTAGCTGAAGCGGTCGACGCTGTTCATTTAAGTGTACATCATCACACATATTTCCTTAGTTTTTTTGCTTCCTTGTATGAAGTAAATGAAGAATTGTAATCGCAAAAAATTTCGGGTAGCATAATTCAACGAAAATAACCATTTTGACCTCTCTCGAATCCATTTGAACGATTTTTTTACGTGACATCTGTAAATGCAGACAAAATAAAACACTATTTTTTTCCAACGGGATTGTAAATTGGATTTAAAATGGATTCCAATCGGTGTTTCTCGTGACGTCTGTACTTACGTATGTATGTATATCGCTTAGCTCAAAATCGAATAGTCGTAACGTTGGAATTTTGTTTATGGGACTGCTATAACATCCTATTTCTGCACTTCCCTTTTTCGCTGCAATCGGCAACACCAAATATATATGTATTCACAACCCTTAACGCGGCTCGATGAGCTCAATATTTTTATTCTTATATGTTGGTAAATTGTGCATTTTTTGCTTTAAAATTAATTGAATTATGCTGCGCTTATGTTCCGGTTAAATTTTTATGCCTTTTAGTTAATCTGCATGCAATGGTTGTAGAATAAACAGGTTGCGCTAGGCCTAACGAGGCTGCCATTTGTTTACATTTGAATTTCTTAGTAGAATAGCGAATTAAGTTGGTTGCTGCACCATCTTCAGTGTCTTTTTTTGTCCAGTGGAACAAGTTAATTTCAATTTTATATACCGAAAATTTTATCCTTTAACCTTTTGGCTGAATTGCTTGGTTTGATGTAGAAACTCTAATTTTTTAATTGCAAAAATTGTGTTTTTAACTGTTTTTAACTCTAGTTGGTGTTCTGTATTTTACAGTTTTTAATGAAGATGTTTTGAGTTCTTATGTATTTTTGTCTTCTTGCGAAGTGAGAACTGAATTGACTGAATGAGAAATATATCTCTAAGGAACTTCGAGGAAAAACGTTAAAACGATTTGCAACAAAAATTAAGTATAATTTAATAACCTGTACAAGGAAGTCATGTGAGGTCCACATCAGATTTTTTTATGAAGAAGCGAATAGATATAAACTACTGTAATGCTTTAGTAAAATTTGATGTCTTAATTCGTTAATCAACTTATTAAATTTCTTTGCGCCGTCCATTCTATTTTAAAGTATGATAATTTTATTAAGGCGAATTGTTTCGAAAATCCATAAATTTTCCTTATAAAGTATTTCTTTAGAATAGAGTAACTTTCTTTTCTTTCCTTTCTTTCTCAGTTTTTAAAACTATAGCATGAATTTTTATAGAAATATTATTAAAAGAACTTTATTTAAACTTTTGTATATTGTTTGCGACATTTCCTTAGTGATACTTCCCTGCTTGGAACGTGGCACGAAGATAATATGAGAAGGCACACTTAAATGCATTTACATTTGATAAATTGTTCTTATATAAACTTATCACGGATCATTTTATCAAAAACCTATGTTTCTGAAACAAGAGTTCAGTATACTTCCCTATTTATAAACATAAAAGAAATTATGCTTCTGTGTTAAAAGTACTATCAGCCAAAGGGCTATACCCTGCAGCATAACCAATTAATATTCGAAGCAAAAACAAAGGAATCTAATAACTACCCGAGGCGATCCAGACAGGAGGGATCTCATAACTCTACAATCGCTACAAGAATAAGATAATATGTTAATCGCTGCGTTTAGGCCGCCTTTGCCCTTATTAAAGGTACAGTTCAGTCGGAACATTAATCCTAAAGTACAAAATCTGATGTAGACACCACATGACTTACATTATACACCACACTGTGTATAATGTAACGTCTATTACATTATACGCCTTTTGCTGCAACAATAAACTGGTATTAAATATTGTTAGATATTTACAACAATAAACTGATAGTTAGATATTTAGAACAATGAACTGATATTAAATACTGTTAGATACATATTGGTAGACTAACTACATATATAAACTATTATTATGTACGTAATTAGTTTTTGTTATTATGTACGTAATTAGTTTTTTGTTATAGAATCTTTTATTCTATTATATTTATTAACAAAAAGAATGTTTGAGGAAAACATTAAATTTCTGTAATTGAAAGGAGGAAGTTTTCCATTTCATAGCCTTTTGTTCAACACGAATGTTAATATTAATAATTATAATATGTGAAAATATTAAATACTGAAAATTGCATGGAGGTAAAAAGGAAAAACAAAAGTACCAAACATATTACTGTGCATTAAACAAGAGCATTTGTTTAACATACTTTTGCAAACATTACTTTAATGAGATTCCAGTGATTAAAACTAAAAATATTAAGCTAAAGTTTGCTTTATAATTTTCTTTTCTTTAATGAAGTAAAGGAAGTATTGTAATCAAGAAAAATTTGGGGTATCATATTTCAACTGAAATTTCCATTTGACCGTTCTCGAATCCTTGACGGTTCTTTTTGCTTGACTTTTGTACTTACGGACAGAATAAAGGTCTCTTTTTCACAAAATGGATTGTAAAATAAATTTAAAATGGATTCAAAGAGTATTTTTTGGTGACATATGTATGTAGGTATGTATCTCGCTTAACTCGAAAACGATTAGCGACGTTGAAATTTTGTATATGGGAGTGCTATAACATATCTAATTGTACACCTCCGTTTTTTATTGCAATCGGATGTTTCGAATGCATACACACATATATACCCATTACTTTATCCGGCTTAAAAGTAGTTACTCGACCTTCATTTACGTAATCATTGGTTGTAGGCATATACTTCCAATTACAAGAGTGTTTCAATTGACAAAAATATTCATGTTTTCGCAATGTCAAATTAAAAAAAATAATTTTCGACAAATAACAAAAACTAATTACGTACATAATAATAGTTTATATATGTAAGTTAGTCTACCAATATGTATCTAACAGTATTTTTTCATTTTAATTTTTATAGACTTATTATTAATATTTCCAAACCAGAAAACTCTTTCCTTTATTTGTATTTTTTTAACAGAAAAAACCCAGACTCCATAATAATAGCTATCTGAATCACTAAATGATAATTTAATATGGCAAAATATTCGAGGTCGTAGGGGCCTGTGAAATGATTTTCTTCTAGTGGCTTTTCTGCAGGTAAATTACTCGCACACATATTACACAATTGGAAAAAATATTTCAAAAGTTTTTAGAATTCAGTCCTAAGTGTTGCATACATTTTTCTATTTTTTTCAGTCTTTTCTCAGTTCATATCAATGTTCAATTTTTTTAGTAAAGTGGTTTTCAAAACTTTTTTGCCTTTTTATTATTAACGTTTTGTGTGTTAAATTTATTAATCAAATATAATGTTCTTCGCACTTCACAACATAAAATGCAATTTAACAGCAAAATGGCAAACTATTTTAAAACAGCATATCTTAAGAACTTCCGATAGTCTCGTGCGCTGGTGATAAAAATGTTTTATTCCGTACCGTGTTGCCACTGCTCACTTTCAAATAATTGATTCAAAAATGCATTAAAGTTTTACAAAATATAAAATATAAAATTCGAAATTCAAAATTCAGACTTCCAGGTTCGGGTGGAGGACTACTTTACCCAAAATTTGATGGCTCTAGGTTCCGCCGATTTTTCACAACGCGAGATTCATTCATATTCCGTCGATTTCATTTCTCACAACGCGAGACATACACGCAGATTCTTCATTTTTTAATTTCTTTAAATAATACAGGGTGGCAACAATTTGAAAGATGATTCGGCATTTCTAGTGAACCGACGTAAAATCTCATTTCGAGACTAATAATAGCCCATTTTGCGCTTAAAAGTGTTCTATTTCATGCAATCTGCGCGGTTATGTGCACACAGTTAAGAGAAATTTTTATAATTATCCAATAATAAGATTGAAGAATAATAAGATTATTCATATGAATTGGCCTCTATAAAATATTTATTTATCCACCTAGACAGTAAGGAAGCAATAATATTAGTTAACTAATGACGCTATGACCAATTTTTACTTAGTAGTTTATAACATATAAATTAAAGTTTCCTAGTTAGAGGAGTCCTAGTTTAGGGAAGTCAGTATGTCTTAACTGAGCTCCAATCAATTAATTGTCACGTAGATCCGAATTTTAAACATATTATCTGTGATTTTGATCATTCGAAATGCACAACAAGTAACAAGAGGACAAAATACAGTAATACTTCACTAACAAAAAAATTTGAAATGCAATGAAAATAATATATTATTATTAGCAGCATTAACGCCAACTTCTGAGTTATGAGAGATCTTAATACTAATAAATTGAGTACCTGATTATTGTCTTAAAGACAGTATTTATCACGTTGCTAGCATTTTTAAAAATATATGTCAAAAAAGGTTTCCTTCTTTTATAAAATATCTAATAAATAATTAATTAATATCAACTTACCATGGCATAGTGGCAAATAACAATGCTTCCGGACCTCAGATCTGAAAATCCGCTACAAGATCTCATAGCCATCTTCTTTCAAAAAATGTAACAGAAAAAATCACAGTACCGGTATCTTCTCTTCCAGACGTTTATAGAATCTTTTATTCTATTATATTTATTAACAAAAAGAATGTTTGAGGAAAACATTAAATTTCTGTAATTGAAAGGAGGAAGTTCATAATACTTTTTTTCTTCTTGAAGACATTTCTCATAAGCTCGTGATGTAATAGGTAATTTAAGAATCCTAGAGTCTTTTACTTTACCTTTCACGCATTAATGGCACTAAATTGGTCTACATTTCAGTGTAAAAGCAAGCTGAATTTTTTCTCGAGGTTTTGGCTGGGTAGAAATATACATCCATTAATAGCTTAATCAATTCACATCATTATTAAAAGTCCATTTTCATTTTAATTTCAATACTGAAAAATTCAATGCAATATCTTTTATATAGCAAAAAAACTCCATTTCAATCAAATATCTTTCCAGTTAATTAGTATGTTATTAATGGCAAACCAATTGTTTAATGGTATGGTAATTGGCTAGGTTTAATAATCTAAGTAATAACAACAATAATTTAATGCAATAATATCACTGAATAGAGTTTAGAAAGTGCTGTATTTCTAAATTAATAAAAAAATATTAAGAAACGATGTTTTCCACATTCCGTAGATTAAGATGAGTAATGACGATCTCCGAAATAAGCAATCCGTAGCTAAGGCGGCTTTTGATCTACCGAACCAAGTAAGCTCCCCATCATACTTCTCACATCTTGTCCGAGCAGCGGTACATTGACTGCGTGCAGTTCCGGATTAAAACCAGATGTGACCATGCAAGAAATGTGGTTCACGGAGCTAGAATCTTTGCTTGAATGATCTTCGATATCGCCAAAACTCAGAACTCTAAGGAGCCAAACTCGCCAAACTACTTGCGTGCAATATAGTAGCTCTAAAAAAATATTTGAAAGTTCTGTTTTCCCCTTTCCTTTTTTTTTTTTTTTTTTAAGAAAACACTCTTTGATCGCAGTAGAAATAGAGAAAAATTCTTGGGCGCCCTGTAGAAATTAAAGCAGCATTTAATTTTGCATCGTTCTTTTTTCAGATGGGAAAAATTAGCTCGCAGTCATAAATTTTATATCTTAATGTATGAAAAGGCTTATTTTTTAAATTAATACCTAATTAATACTTGGGTATAAAAAGAAATCAGTTAAGAAAGAATTAAAATATACGTTGTTTTCACAAAATATTTAGATTATATTTATTTATATTTAGCTTCATCTAGCAAGATAATTTTTCTGTATAAAATCCGCATACTATCCATTTATTTAGGTCATACAAAATTTATTGGAGAAAATTTAAAGATAGCTTTTCAAAATGAAGTAAATATTTTATGGCACAATCATCTCGTATTTATGTGTATAAACAGTTCAGTCTTTTCAACGACCAAGGTCATTTAGCCGGGTGTTGCTCATGAATAAATCGAGATAATGGACTTGTCCCACTAAAACAAATAAATAAAAAGTTTCGAAAAAATCTGAAAGTATTTACAAAAATCTTCAAAAGGCTTCTACTTTTAAAATATAAAGCAACGTATTAAATTAGAGTTCGCACAGAAAAAATGTAAAAAATTCTGTCTTTCAAGGGGGTTAACTAATAAGTGAAGAAATGTGAATTTATAAAAATAAGAAATTTCTTTTTTAGGGAGTATAACTCAGTATTCTATACCTCAAAACCCTATACAGACTAACTTTATTTGATGTTCAAAGAATTTTTCATTAAACACCGAAGACAATTGTTGCAGTTTCAGGACACATATATCACTGTCACTTGTATTCATTTGACATTATGAGAAAAAGCCCGGAAATGCCTGTGTAGCTTACCTAGTTATGCTATTTGAACCTGGTAGAATTACTGGTGCTCAACGCTTTCATTTACTCGGCCACTGGTAAATCTATTTTCCCCCTCTTTTCCGCATGTCGGGGTGTAACTGAACGCACGTTCGACGCGTATTCGAGACGTCCGGAGTTCGAAACCCGGTGAGGGCGCTGCTGATGTCTCGAGTTCAAAAAATTATAAAAACTCCGTAAGTGGCACCCGAAATAAAAGGTGGTGGCCGTTAATTCGTCACCACCGGATTTGGCCATTGGGTCACCTAATCCTCAGTAGCCCTTAAAAAGGGGAGTATTTAAGGTATTTTCTCCCTTCTTTTCGCATGCCTTGGTGGTGTAACCGAAAGCACGTTTTGGCGAGTATTTGGCATGTCCGGAGTTGATATGCCGGCGAGGGTATTGCATATTTTTCACGTTCCTGATCGGTATAACCTCTTTCATAATATGCAGAACTTGTGTTGACAAAATATGCCATAATTATTTTATATTATTTCTAATCGGAGTAAAAGCACTATGAATTTTTATTTCAGATATGATATAAAAATTTAATCATTCTAATAAATATATAAATTAATTTTAACATTTCATGAGAATATGAAACACATACTTTTATTTCAAATATGTTTTACCTGTCCTCTCCCTTTTGCCCCCTGCGGTGTAAGTAACAAAAGCATAAATGTTTTAAGTAATTAGGAGGATAATTTAACAATAGGAGATTGCACAGAAATCAAATTGCCTAGAAACCCCTTACTTAATATTTGCCAACTACTTTTAGATTGGCTACGCTTTTGGTCTGATGGTAGGGAAGCCGACTGCCATACCTTAAGCCCGGGTTCGAATACCTTAGAAAGCATGGGTGCTTGTTATTGTACAGCGTCTTTGCGGCATGGGGGATTAAAATACTGTTGAGCCAAAAGTCATCTCGAGTAAGGAAAAGAGGTGTGAAAACTCTTGGATCTGTCTCTCGGAAATTAGCTTTCAAAATTGGGACGGAACTGGGGGGGGGGGCAAATTTGTACTATTACCTATAAAATGCCCTAGACCTAAGACAACGACAGCCGCAATCTTGCGCCCTTGGACATGATAAAACTGGCTTACTTGTTCTAATGTTATTGTTATGGAAAATTCTTAGGTATTTTTTTGTTGTGTATAATTATTGCATGTTATTTTACTGTGAATAATGTATTCTTAGTTATTATAATATTTTACTGTGTTTAATGAATTTGTATTGAGCTTATTTTAAAATTGATAATATTTAATATTTAATATTGTTAAACTTTACGGCAAAACTCCCTTAAGTTTGGCTGAATATGTGTTACAGTTAAAAGGGCGCGGTTGTATTTCCGTTTCTCACGCGTAGGCTACTTTGGAGGTTAGAGGTCACTGTCCAGCTGCATTTTCCCCTTTTTTTCGCGGGGGTTGAAAACACGTGTTTTTCTCGTTCAGAGGCGAATAGTTCTAAGGGGCAGCGATTTTTTGACAGAGTTATAGGTTGGAAACATTCTTCTGTTGCGTGGGAAAGAAAGGGTCTGTCTTCTTGTAGAAAGTTCTGAATTTCTGAGAATTTCAGTGGCGATTTATGACCTTTCTTCTAGTTGGCGAAAGGGATTCTAAGTTTCCTTAAGATTGGCTAAATTTTTTAATTTTAGTTTAGTTTGAACCAATAGTTATTTTGAGGCGTTTCTTGGTGTGTAAACCGAGGTTTCTTAAGCTGTTGCACGGAAAAAGGAGGGGATCTTTTTTTGGACTTGAAAAAAAGAAAAAAGCGATTTTTAGAGAAGACTTTTAAGAGGTTTTTTGGAGCCTTAGCTACGGGGACTTTGACGGCGGCCCTTACAGGGCCGGCCGCGGTCGGTTAGGTGCTGGGATGAAAAACGCGGCGATTCTTCGGTGGTCGACCGCGGTATACAGTTAAGTTTTTATCTCCGAGATTATTGGGTACGGAGGGTCCGAGACAGTGTGTGTGCTTGACATGTTTGACGGCGGCGATTCTTGCGGCTTATTATTTTCAATTTCGTCGCTGAGATTTCTTTCCCATTTGTGGAACAGTCTGAACTGCTCGTTCGTGCTGGAGTATCTATTTTGTTTTCGAAAAGATGGAAATATGGAAAATCGTCATCGCCTGAGGTCTGCTTTGGTCTTTTATCTCCAGTTTAGACCTTCTCTTGTCTTCAGTGGAACTTCGAAAACGGGAAGTTGATTGAGTGAAAGTGCTGCTTAACGGAGGAATTTGAAAACTTTAAACTGGAACTATGAAAAGGCTCCGGTTCCGGAAAACAACGATGAAGATTAGGCTGTTATTGTTTCGGGACGCACCTATGCTTGATTTTTCGCACATCGGTGCAGAAAGACTTAGCAGGTGCAAAACAGACATCTGTCTACTTTGTCTGTCTGTCTGTAATTTAGATCGGGCAGCTCCCTGAGTCTCTCAAAGGTGGTACGCCGAATTCGTGAGTGACTTTTTAAATTTCATTGGTGTTTTATTTTGATGCATAATCCTTTTAAATTTGGAAATGTTTAATACTAAAGAGTTGACATGTTAAGTAGATAAAAAATGAATATTTTTACCAAATTTCTAGCTGAGATAGTTAATTTTTTATTTAATGTTTAATAGTCAGAAATTAATTGAACTAATTGGAGGAAGTGAATCTTTGTTTTAATGTTTAAGTGCTATGTTCAATATGTTTTATTCTAAATTAGTTTTTTTAAATGAGTTTAATATTCTTGAGTTCCTGCTTAAAATGATTAAGAACTGTGAAGTGTTTCACGATGATTTTTGTATTAATGGATTAATGTTAAATATGAGATTGATTTGGAAAAAAAAAAATTTGAATAACTTTAAAAGATTTTTGTAGGGGTAGTCTGGCCAGCTATCTAGTTATAATGTGTGGGAATTTTCAATAAATGTGTTTATTATCTTAAATATAGTATGTTTTTTTTTTGTGTAATTATTGTGGTCTACTGTAGGTCACCCATGTGATCCTTACGGAAACATGGTTTATCAACCGAACCTGGGTAATTATATTGCGGTAGTAGAAAAAAAAAAAAAAAATTTTAGTGTTGGTGACTATACGATCGGTTTGCTGAATTTATTTTGATTTGAAGAGTAGACTTCTTAATTGGGAGATTGTATCTTTCCCCGGTGTTTTGAAGAGTTCTGTGTGATATTTGAAATGTTTCAAGGTTTAAGCTTATCTCTAGATTTAAGATTGAAATTTATGTGTTTTCAGGTTGGAGATATAAAATTAGTTTTCATTTAGTGAGAGATAGCCTGTTTAAAGATTTTTGTTGTGGATGTGCATAATTAATCGTGATTCTACCAAAACACCAGGGAGGATATCTTTCTTTGATGTCTTTTAGATTTAAAAGTTTTGATTATGTACTTACAAAGTTTAGTAGTTTTTAGTAGTAATTAGGTTTTTTTTTTTTTTTTTTTTTTTTTTTTGGCGCGGCACCAAGCAGTCAGTTGTAAAGAGATAAGGGTTAAATGAAAAATTTAATTTTTTTTTCTACGTAACATTATTGTCAAGTGAGATAAGTTAGAGCAGCTTTTAGATATAAGTATTCTAAAACAAGCAAATTATCATTTGTCACTTCTTCCATTCTGTCATGTATGGATGCTTTGTATTCTCGGTTAAATCAATCTTTGAAGGACACCTGTAAATTTAAATACAATTCTAAATTTATAAGATTTGCTAAATTTCTGTTTAAATTAATTATTATTCTATAAAAATTAGATACATTGATAAAGCTATGTAATGCTATTTTTAAAAATTAATTACTTAAATTTAACACCGAATAGCAGTTTTTAACAATTCAAATGTATTTTTTCATCTAAGCGTGATTACTGCACATTAGACACTAGGAAGTGATTAAACTCTTCTATCGAACACAAAAGATTTCTATGAATGCAACGACCCTATGTTATGAATGCAAAAGACATTATGTTT